GAAATCCCATCCTTAGTATATTTCCTATGTGAATATCATGTTAAATCGGAGAAGTATAGTGGCACATGCTTGACTCACCTGAGCCACACACTAGTAACATCCTTTGTAACATATCTGTGGGACACCGTGTAACACAGAAAACACAAGAGTGGCTCATTCTGAATGGCTTTTCTGTGTTACACCTTGTGGCACATAAAGCAAATGCAGTTCAAATTTCGTGTGTCATTATATGGTTACATCCTGAGCCACATCTTTATCACACTTGAGCCGTATTTTAAATGTGATTTGGCTGCGACGCGGTGTCACACACTGATCTCTTTTGGACTGCGATTTCTGTGTGATTTCTGTGTTACACGGTGTCACACAGCCCGGTGCCCCCGGTGGTAGAGTTCGGTGTACAAGCGCCCATGACAGCAGATCGAGATCTGCATCGGGCCGGGGAATACGTCATCAAGACGCGTCGGCCTCAGGCTTCTGGTCTCTTCCAGTTCTCGCGAGCTTCAGCTTCCTCCCTCCTCTCATTACCGGTGGTCGCGCACTGTTCTGTGCTTCTCCTCATCGACTTCCGCAAACTTTGCTTAAAGACTCATTATAACCTCAGGCTCTACTCCCTATCCTACCTAGCGTCTGACATATAGATGTCGAAGGTCCAGCTCTATGTGTATGATCTAAGCAACGGCCTTGCAAAGCAACTCTCGAGACAACTCACCGGTCGGCAGATAGATGGAATATGGTACGCAACTAGGTCTCAAATGTGAACGAGTGATTCACCAAGCACAGGCACACCTCCGTGGTTGTATTCGGCAAGGAGATATTCTACGGGCAGGGTATCGATATCACCCGGCCGGGGATGTCTCACGTACGTGCGCTTCATACCTGGACCCCGAACCTTGCTAAGATTGCCGCAGCATGGTAGACCGCTCCAGATCGTAGATATGGGCGAAACCGCTATCGACGAAGAGACCTTTAACGAGTATTTAGAGGAAATGCGTCAACATTACACTGCAGACAAGGTGGGCAAGCTGTGTTTGATATGTGCAGGACGGTCCTTTGGCTAACGCGCATGAAGTATCATTTATTAGGTAGCTAGATGATCGAGAAGCAGAAGGCCTCGCGGCTAACGCGTGCGTGTAGACTTTAACTGCAACTCGTTCACCAACGACTGCGTGGGCTTTCTCACGGGAGGCTCAATACCGACGTGGATTAAAGACCTACCCTCCGATTTCCTCTCGACGCCTTTCGGCGCAGCTCTCCGCCCGACCATCGACTCCATGTTCCGCCGCCCTTCGCCTGGAGCCGCGCCCGCCGCGCCCCAGATGCCCGCCCCAGACTCCCTGAATGCAGCAGCCTCTGCTTCGCCCAATCCCGCGCTCGCATCCGCGCTCCTCCAAGCCGTCGCCTCGCAGGCCTACTCATCTGGCTCGCTCTCCGCCCCTACCTCCATGCCCTCTGTTGCTCCGAATTCGGGCAGCTCCACTGTGACTGGCCCGATTCACATGTGCACAAATCCGTCATCGCTGCACTCGCTTTTAAAGTCGCACCGCGCAGCGATCGTGTTCTTCACGTCGGCAACGTGTGGCCCATGCCGCATGATTGAGCCGCTGTTTGAGGATCTCGCGCACCAGAAGACGCATGGTAGCGGTAGCGGACGCGTTGCGTTCGTGAAGGTGGACCTCGCGGTTGGGATGGGCAATCAGGTTGCCGGGGAATGGGGCGTCAGGGCCACACCTACATTCTTGTTCTTCTTGGATGGAAAGAAGGTGAGTATTCTCCCAGAGCGTTGTAGTAAGTGTACTGATCACGGCTATCGGCGCTCATAGGTAGAAGAGGTGAAGGGCGCGAACGCAGCAGAACTACGCTCCCAAGTGGATCTACTCCTCTTCCAAGCCTTCCCGCGTATGTCGTCCACTATGTTATACACGAGAACTCATGTACTCACGCGCCTCATACAGCCCATCCGCATACGAAACTATCTCTTCCCGCCGTAGAAGCGCTGTCCACAAATCCTATCCTTTTCACCCAAGTGCCTGCGCTGGACACGGTCTCCGCCAAGCTCGCCTCGTTCATCGACGCCGCACCGTCCTCGCCAGAGCTGCAAACGGCTAAGCAAGCGCTCACCACCGCGATCATTCCCCTTCTGAAGACTCGTTTTCCGCCGAAAGGCACACCAGAAGCAGCGAAGAAGCCCGCATTCCCTGCTCCTCCGCAGTTGCTCGCCAGCTGGGCAACAACGACGCGCATCATCGCCAACACCCTCCCCCCGGCGCAGCTCTTCCCCCTCGTCGACCTGTGGCGGCTGGCTATCCTCGACGACGCCGTCGGCAACTGGCTCGCCTCCGCGCCCACACCCGACCCGCTGCAGCTATTCCTCGACAAGGCGCTGTCCGCACTAGACGGGAACGCGCCCGACGCGCGCAACTACCTCCTGACCACGCTGCGTGCGCTCGCGAACGGATTCGCACACGCGTCTCTGAGCAAGACCCTGCTCGCGGCGAAACGCGTCCCAATGACGCGCGCGGTCGTGGCAGCGCTGCTGCACGCGGATGCGGCGGTGCGCACGGCGGCGGCGAGCCTCGCGTTCAATGTCGCGGCCGCGCTGCAGCGGAGCCGGGTCGAGCGCGTGCGCGGGGTCACGGTCGGCACGGTGCCGACGGAGGTCGCAGAGGATGAGGAGTGGGAGGTCGAGATGGTGAGCGCGGTGCTCGAGGCGCTCGCGAACGAGACGCAGAGCGAGGAAGTCGGTGAGTGGTGTTGCGCTGATACTGTGTGTGCTCCTCGAAGCGTGGCTGATGCGTTTGGCTATTAGTTCACCGGTTGACGGCGGCGCTGGCGTTTTTGCTGCGACTGTCGCCCTTCTACGAGAGCCAGCTACAGGGTCTGCTGGAGGTGCTGCAGTCGCGCGAGACGCTGAAGAGCAAGCTCGCGCAGGGCGGATGTGGGGAGAGTGGCGTGCAGAAGCCTGAGGTGCGGAAGTTGGTGGTAGAGGTTGCGGAGAAGTTGTGTGTCTGATCTTGCTCGACTTGTGACTTTGATATCTTGGGGTTGGACAATATGTTGTGCATGTATTCTTGGGTATGTGTTGTGTAAGCTGGAGCTGTTGGGAAGTTGGGCAGTGCCAATACGCTATGAAGCATCAGTCAGCTTCACCTCTAGCGATACCTTATTCCGAAAACCAGAAAGAGGCTTCTTACCTACCATGGTGGCCAGCTTGGTGCTGAGAAGTCTGGGATCACGCTGATGCCACGTTGAGTACATTTCTTGAATAACGCAACGAGCTGCTCTTCCCGGTTGCGCTCTCCCGGTATTATTATACTTCCCTCCGTCGCATCGGGGACGAAGCGCGGGCCTACCTTCACCGAGACGCGGCGAAGATGCAAATGTACCGGCCCTTCCGATATAACGTCGTCGATTTCCTGCCAGTGTGTGCGCTTGATCGATGGTTGGTCTGTCTCCTCTGGGCCTCGATACTCCAGAGACAGCTCGCGAATTTTGGCATTTCGGGTGTAGCTGAGGGCAGGTATGAACCAGTCTGCGTCGGTGTGCTTTTGTATACAGGTGGTCATCTTCAGACTCTGTAGACTCGTGTACCGGGTGAAGGCTGTTAAGGGAAAGGCGGTCAGACACAACCGTCAATCATGATGTGTGAGGAGACTCGTTGTTGGCTACCTTCGAAATGGTCTTCAAAAAACCCTGGGTCATCGGCATAGCACGGCCCCAGCTCAAGGAACTGTATGGATGAGGGGAGAATTTGGAGAAAAGGGTGGTATATGCAAACGAGTTCTAGCTGAATAACAGATATTACACGCTGCGACAACAGTGATGTCCCGCGACCCGCAAGTCATTCGACTCACCTTCAGCGAGGTCAGATTCCTGCATACGCTCGTTCCGCTCCCAGGGGACCCGACTAACTCGCAGCAAATGACTCTCAAGAGCGAGAGAGAGGTGATATGCGGGAACTGCTCGAGAAATCTGTCGAGGTATTGGAAGTCACCGAACCAAATATCGCGCAACTCAAGGTGCGTGATCGAGGTGGCCCTCGAAAGCCTACGAACAAGCGGGCCCGTGGCGGTGGAGATGCTACCGTCCAGACTACACAGCGCGACGGAGTGCAGGCCAGGGAGGTGTTGGATGGTGCGTGGGTTGAGTGGCCCCGTTTCGGGATCCCCCCCGTCCGTGTTCGATGTGATGTCTCGAAATGATATCTCGAGGTGTCTGACCAGCGCGCCGAGCTCCCGGGACGCCGCGATTGTGTCGGAGAACTTGCTTAGGGGTTGGTATTCATCGAAAGAAACGCTGTGGTACAGATGATACTGCGCTCGCTTTAACCAAGCCGAGCAGGTCAGGGCGCACGCTGGGAGGGTGCTAATTCTCAGGTCAGGGTCGGCGGCCACAGCATCAATGAGGTCGAGGCAGATGTCGATAGGTATTGCCCTTTGCATGGATATAGGTGGAAAAGAGTGGCAGTCGAGGGTGGTCGGACTTGTGGTGGGCGGACGTGGTACGTTCATCAACGATAACGCCCAGTGAGAATCGACAATATTAAAATCTATTGCGAGCTATTGCCCTCAAGTACGAGCTATTTAAATATATTTGGATCTATTCGTCGCCCGTTGCGGGCGCTTTTCTGTCTGGTTTCGTCTCGTTTTGTCTCGGCGATCGTCTTTTTCAACTGCTGTCATGTCAATTCGAATGCATCCATATCAACTTTTTCACCCGACCGTTCTGCTTTTGCGAAAAAAAATTGGGCGCCTGACAACTTTCTGCGATGGCGTCATCCTGGTTTTTGACTTCGCAGAGTTCGAAGTCGCTCGCCCCTTCGCCACACATATCCCTCTTGCTTCCTGCGCCCATGTCCGTGCACCGTCTCTGCGCTGGCATCTCCTCCCCTCCCAGTTCGAGCTTGCATTCTTCGCTCTCTCCACTGACTGACTAACTCACTAACCCGCTGACATACTGACATACTGACCCACATACTTTGCTAATCATCACTGACCTACTGACCACTGACCTACTGACCTACTGACGAGTTATTGTTACCGGCTTTAGATGCATCGCACACTTGCTCGGTACGCGCGCAGTCGCGCCCGCCATTCTCAACGCGGCCTCTACAATCTACCAGTGTGCGCGCGGCACTGACGGGCGCAGAAGGACGGGCGCGACGCACAAGTAGGGGCGCTGCTGGGACGGGTGCGCGACTGGGTTCGGGGTGCTGCCGGTAGGCGCGACGGGGCGCGACGTGCAGGTGCGGGGCACGACTGGGTTCGACGCGGTGGCGGTGGGCGCGGCGCTCGCGGTGGGCGCGGCTGGGTACGCGGCGCGGGGGCGGGGCGCGGGGGCGACCGGCGGGCGTGGACGGGGCGTGGACGGGGGATATCGGATACGTATCATGTAGCTCGGGGGTCTGTGTATTGTCATCCATTGCAATATCATGCAATTCATTTTAATATGTCGCAATAGTTTTATATGAACGGCAATAGACAGCCATCTATTGTTTCGGCACTTTTTCTATTGCGAGTGTTTACGATGTATTAAATCTGGCGGGGCGGAAAACAATAGCTCGCAATGGCTCGCAATAGATCTTAATATTGTCGATTCTCACTGGGGATAACGATCGATGGCGTTCAAATAACGTTCAAAGGTATATACCAAGGCCGAGAAAGTCGGGGTGCACCGCCACCCCCACACACATAAAATCCTCGTATAGTCTTCGCTAGCTTGTCAAGCGTAGCACCATCCTCGACTTTCATATGGTCTAGATAGTAGACTCGATGCCAGTAAGGTAAGTAGATCATGCTATATTGGACCTTCAAGTTGAAAGGAGCTTGCCTTGGATATCCAACCCCATGCCGCGTCAGACATCCATCAAGTCGGAAGATAACGCGTCATGGCTACCACCAGAAGTACTTACTGGTGGAGGCAACGGGTGTGGAGTATATGTTTGAAGCAAAATTTGCTGAGGCTGAGGTTCGTGCGACCTTCAGCGTCACCGTAAGCTGCAGCCTGAGATAGTTCCTTTTCGCCCTCGTTCTGGAACATCGATTCCAGCGCAGTGATGTTGATCCTCGAGCGAGTTAACGCATCAACCGAGGACTTGGGAGAATTCAGAGAGGCTTCAGCAGCTGAAGACGGTTTAGGCGTGGATATGATATCAATCAGAAGCGCCGTTCTACGTCACGGTTTTGCGTAGATAGTCTCCCGAGCCTCCGAACGCATGAGGCTGGTTCACGAGCCTTCGAAGGTGTGCGAACGCGTCTAGTTTCAAATTTGAGGAACTTCCACCCCACAGCACCAGCGTTGCCCTACCACGCCTACATGTACCCGGTGTTCATTTTTCTGCTGCGGAGAGATCGACGTCTGGAACACCAAACCATATTTGGGAATTGCTGATACTTTGACTCTGCGTCCCGGTCAGTGGGTAGATATGCCCGCTCGCTCTTTAATGCGCGCCGGCGCCGGCCACTAGTGAATTTTTACATGTCAGAAATAGTACGGACCTCCCCCTTCTAGTGCATTCATTTCAAAGGTATGTATGTAGACGTAGGAGAGTAGGAGGATATATATTCCAAGCTTATGAGAAGGCCGAGCGCCGGAGATCCGGAGGTGACTCAACGCCCGATATACCTAAAATGGCAGTCTGCCGGCCGGACACGCCGGCGCAGGTGTGCGGCGATGAAGTCGCTACAGGTTCTGCTTCCCGACCACCATCCCGCCCGACGTCTTCCCACACACACACCTCCGCCGTCTTCCGCTAGGCTCCTAGTCGCATGCGACGCAGGCGGCCGGCATGTACGACCCAAACGCCCCTATGACCTACGCAGGCGACCAGGCGGCGGGCGAGGAACAGTTCATCTCGACCTTCTTCTGCCGCGCTCTCTACGACTACCAGACGCACGACTCCTCTTCCCTCTCCTTCCACAGAGGCGACATTATCGAGGTCCTTACGCGTCTCGAATCTGGGTGGTGGGATGGGCTGCTCAACGATGAGCGCGGATGGTTCCCCTCCAACTACGTGAACATCATCTCTGACCAGGAGGCTGAAGCTGCTCTGAACTCGGGTGACTATACGCCAAGTCAAGCATCACTACCGGATGACTCTATGGTTGATATGGCGCAGACGATGTCGCAGGCTCTCTCGCAATCCGACTCCGATGGTGATTGGTTGAACGGCGGCGGAGACTACTCTCAGCAGCCCCAACATACCAACGGCGCCGCGACTCGTGCGCCCGGTACCAAACAGAGCGACTTTTGGGTACCTCAGGTGTCGCAGGACGGTCGAGTGCGTATCACCTCATGGCTGCTATCCGTAGACTGCTAAATGATTTGCAGATATTTTACGTCAACACGCAAACTGGGCAGCAATCTCGAGACCTTCCTCAAGAGCTCGACGAAGAGGCAGATCCAGAAGTTGCGGCTCTCTCCCCTCATGCCACTTCTCGAGCTGTTCCTACTGCGGCATTCGGCGCGGCAGCGGTCAATGGGAGCAGTCGGGACGGTGGTGCCGGCTTTGGTATCCCGAAACGCACGAGGACTCCGGAGCCATGGGCGAGACGTCTTGCGGACGATGGGATGTCCTACTACTACGTGAACAAGATCGACGGTCAAGTTTCCTGGACGGTACCAGAGGCCGGCGCCCCACTGGGTTATGTCGACGAGACGCCCTCTCGAGAAACTGTGGCGCGAAGCTCCCCCGCTGCCTCTGCCTCTTCGATTCCGCACGCCAATGGAACGAATGGACGACTGCGATCGGATTCCACGGCCTCGCGCACAGCAGATCGCCTCAGCATCCACTCTGATGACTCTGAAGTCTATCCCGCGAGGCGCGACCGATCGGAGTCTTCCTCAAGCGTGCAGAAGGTCAATGGCAACGGCGTGAGTCGCCTCGAATCTACTCCTAGCGCACCGTCCGCGCGTTCGCAGCCGCAAGTGAATCCTGGTCTTGAGCTCACAGCAGCGGAAGAATCTGCCAAGGCGCTACAGGAATCTTTGGCCCCCCATCCTCCCGAATCTGCTGCTGAACTTGCGAATCATGTCGGTGAAGCGATTAACTCTCTCGTCCGGTTCCTCAGGAGCGCAGCCGGTCCCCGTCGTTCAGATCAGTTCCGCGAGGTTGATCAACTGGTACTGAAGGTGGTCGCAGCGGTGCGCAATCTCCTTTACGTGACTGCCACCCCAAGCGGACACGTCGCAAGCCATCTCTATCCACGGGACCCTCGCGACCCCAGAATAGCGGCATCTGGCCAGACACTCCAGGCACATCTGAAGGCTGCCCATCGCAAAGTGGCGGGGACTCTATCAAAGCTTGTGCTTTCGGCCCTGGCGATGCAGTACGACCCTAGTCTGTCCAACTCTGACAAACCCAATCGGATGGAGGCCGACGTTGCTGAACTCGAACGTGCCGTTGTTGCATTCGTCGGGGAGGTGCAGTTCTTCCAAGAGCAGCATAACCTGTCGAATTCGCTATCCAGTTCGGGCACAAAGCGGCTGCATGGTGTGTTCTCCACTGCGAACATTGGTCTCGGGCTGCCCGGCGCGGGAGTTGCTGCAGATTGGCGGGGTCTCGGCTACGTCGCTGCGGAGGATGGTGCGGATGTGCCGGGGCGGGTGCTCAACGACGACGTCGTGATCGAGTACAAGGGTAGCTTGAAGGCGCTGGAGGCCAAGCTAGGCGCTTTGGTCATTTCCCTCAAGTATCTGGACAGCCACCCCGGTATGTGTGGTGTCAGTTTTATATGAAATTTACGTAACTGACCGATATGTTGCGGATATATAGACCGCGTCTCACAAGAGGGACAGAATGCCTCTGCATATCTTTCCTACTTGCTCTCCTACCTCGGCGGTATCAACGTCGCGCAACATGTCGATGTCGATGGCATCCGCTCAGAGTCTGGCATGTCTTCAGCTTCCGCGCAGTACATGCAGACTGTCGATAAGGCGCGCTCGCTCGTACGCACCATGGAGGCCGCCACGCAGGCGCTCTACGACGACGGCATGGTCCTCTTCATGACGGTACAAAGCCTCTCGCGCCCGGAACTCCTTAGCGATAAGGAGTTCAACAGCCTAGTCGGCGTCGTCGAGACCACGGCACCCACTGTGCGCTCCAACTGTGTCTTGGTCGCGCAGACGCTCGAGTCGCTCCTCGCGACGGGCCACGACCAGGCGGCGATAGGCCAGGGCGACTACCGCAACTCCATAGAGTGGCGAACGTCGCGCATCAACATGACGGACGCGTCTATCGCGGCGCTCACATCGCGCCTCGCAGATGTACCGAGCGGGGACGACGAGTTCGTGGACATGGAGCTCGCGTTCAGCCGCCCCGGTATGCGCACGCTCCCGTCGTCAGCGGACACCGTTGGTGCTGCGTCGACATCCTCGACAATTTACAACAACGCGGGACAGCCGTCGTCGCAGTCGTCTTTGGACATGTCGGACCGGTCACGGTCAGACAGCTTGAGCGAGCCACAGACACCAACTTGGTCCCAAACCGAGACCACGGTCGACGGAGCGTTCGTAGGTGGGGGTTCGGGCATCGACATGGGCCCCGACGAGCCCCTCGACGACGATGTGGCCCCATACGTGGACGAGGAAGAACGTATGTGTCATATATACTGCGTAAGCCAGCGCGTGTTAACTCACCTCGTATTTTTTAGCTGCTATCCTTGGCAAGTCACCGCCGCGCGGCGGTGCCGGCAACAAACTCATGAAGCTCCTCGGTCCGGAAACGCCACAAGACTATATCAACCGGATGAACGCAGACCAGAAGCCGTGGTACTTGCGGTCGAACTACGACCAGGCAGAGATTCTTATCGATCCGGATGGAAGTGTTCGCGCGGGTACTGGGTCTGCGCTTGTCGAACGGTTGACGGCACACGAGCTCGGACGTATGTTTTTTCTACCCGTCCCAGCATATAAGGGCACCTCTCAATTTTTTCATAGACACCGCGTTCAACAAGAACTTCCTGATGACATTCAAGTCGTTCATGACTGTAGACGAGCTCTTCGACCACCTTGCGAAGCGCTTTTGGATACAGCCACCCCCCGGGTTGAAACCGCAAGAGCTCGAGGAGTGGACTCGCTTGAAGCAGCAGATTGTCCGCGTTCGGTTAGCATCATCACTCTCGGGATTTATCTGCACAGTTGACTCACAGGCCACGCAGTGTGCTGAACACGTTCCGGACCATGGTCACGGACGACGACATTCTCGAGAAAGAGGACATGTACATCCTCGGTCGCATGAAGGAATTCGCTTCAAATGAAGAGGTCGTCACTTTCGCTGCAGCCAAGCAGCTTCTCATCCTCATCGAGCGCGCGGTAAGCTTCTTTACCCCATCTGCGTGTTCACCTCACTCACTCGTCTTCTACAGCAACGGGGCGGCGACACCGCCATCAAGACGACCAACACCGTCCCGATCACGCCTCCAGCGCCCATTGTGCCTAAGAGCAAGAAGGTCAAGCTCATGGAGATTGACCCGCTCGAGCTCGCGCGGCAGCTCACCCTCATGGAGGCCGCGCTATACAAGAAAATCAGGCCAATGGAGTGTTTGCAGCGGTCGCGAGAAGCGAAACCGGGGAAGACGCCGGATAACATCACCACGATCATCCAGCTGAGCAACAGGGTGCGTTTCACGCGCGAGGGCGCTTGGAGCAAATACGCTGAACGATATCATAGATTGCAAACTGGGTGGCTGAATCCGTCCTTGCCAAGGAAGACTCCCAGAAGCGCGCGCGAGTGGTCAAGCACTTCATCCTGCTCGCAGACGTAAGTCTTTTGCATCCTGATCTTTATCGTAGCATGCTCATTGTGTATCACAGCGGTGTCGAGGGATGCAGAATTACTCAACGATGACGGCAGTGATCTCTGGCCTGAATACCCCTCCGATTCGACGGTTGAAGCGGACATGGGAGCAGGTGAACGCGAAGATCATGTCCCAGCTGAAAGTGTGCGAGTCAACTATCGATACCAACAAGAACTTCAATAATTACCGATCGCTTCTGGCAACGATCCAACCCCCTTGTGTACCCTTCATTGGTACGCTTCGTCTATTCATCACTGCGATATTGTCATTGACCGGTGTGTTTAGGTGTTTACCTGACCACTTTGACCTTCATCAACGATGGCGCGGAGGACAAGCTCGCCGGCAACATGATCAACTTCCGCAAGCGGCAGAAAGCGGCGGAGGTCATCCAGGACATCAAGCGGTGGCAGGCGAAGCCGTACAACTTCCAGACGGTCGCGCCCGTGCTCGCGTATCTGGAAGAGTCCTTCCAGGCCTACCAGGACGCGCAGGATTATGGCGACCAGTTCTGGAACCTCAGTCTCGAACGCGAGCCGCGCGAGCGCGAGGACGAGAAGATGGCGCGGCTGCTGCAGGAGAGCGGCTTTTTGTAGTAGACGGGCGTGTTTGTCTGTGTTTTTCGTGTGTCCGGGCTACCCCGCGCGTGTCTTTTTTTTCGTCCCCCATCCCCCCTTTTCCACCCGTTCCCCGCGAGACCATATTCGTATCATGCTCTGTGTACTAGTGTTCTGCCGTTCGCACTTGACTTATACCGTCTACATGCTGTACTAGTAGTTACCACTACTCGCGGACTGGGATCATGCTGGATAACCACTAATCAAGGCATGGTGCTGCCCTCTTCCGCTGCTTGTGTGGGATGTGCGATGTCCTCGATTGAGCGAAAGTTTGAAGTTTGTCATGGTGTGATGCATTGGCAGTTACGTATACTGGTACGTGTTTAATGAGTGATGCGTGTCTCCTGTACTCAGACTGCGTCAAGTTCAGGCTGATGTGCACGCTGACAGACACGGACAGACCTGTAGCAGGCGTGAGAACCTTTTGCAACTAGGAAAGAATGCAACCATGATGCTGTGGCGTTCTGTTTGTGGCTTCCAACCGCAACCATCATCACCAAATACCTGCGGCGCTGCAGCCGAAACAATCATGGAGGAGGATGGGACGTTCTTCGACAAAGAGCGCGACCGTCTGACCGCCGAGATCAGCAGCGTGAGTGGCGTCGGATCCTGCGCCTTGCGAGACGCCTCAGCTGAAACGAACGCATCCGCAGGGCTTCGAGGAGCTGCTGTCCTCGAGCAACAACCTCAACAGAAAGCTCGAGGAGGTGCTCGGCATGACACGGGAGTACGAGACAATCGCTGCGCTATGGCAGAGCTTCCACGAGCTCATGCGGGGCCACCAAGACGAGGGCGAGGCTGCTGCGGAGGCCGAGCCACACGGGCTCCCGGGGACGGGTGGACACGTTCTCGCGGCGTCGAAGTCGGGGAACGGGGGGACGGACCAACAACAACAGGGGTCATAATTTGACGGGGGACAGGGACGACGCAGACATCCGAGGACAGCAGCCATGGGCTCGGCATTGTATTCATTCGTGTATATGTATACGTACGCGCGCGATCATCAGACATCGAGGACGTGAGCGAGTTGTCATTTGCGGGTTGTCGTGAACACAATAGGTATCCAAATACAGCGGGAGTCGGACAAAGTGCACAGTATGCGACAGAAGAGGTAAAACGTAATAAGTATCGTAAGGCGGTCGTATCTCTCTCAGATGTCGGCCCAGCTCGCCACCCAGGAGAAGCCGTTGAACTCGGCCTGGTCGCGCGTAGACAGTTGGGTATGCACTGGGGTCAGTGTCGGTTGCTCCTTCGTGAACTCTTCGTCGAAGTTGCTGGTATCGGCACTCCCGTTCTGTGCGTAACAGGTCAGCTTTGGGCTTCGCACAGAGACTAGGCGGACGTACGATCGTAGGGAAGTACGGGGGCGGGATGCGCTTGTGCAAGACGTCGTCGAAGTTCACATCCTTGAAGAACGGATGTCTCTTGATCTCTTCTGCATCGCTCTTTCCAGAGCCCAGTCGCCGTGTGGGGTCGCGTGTGAGGAGCTGTATCAACCATATTCAGCATTATCGTCGAGGGTGTTGCGCTACAGCGCCAGCTTCTCACCTTCTGCAAGACCGAGACAGCATCACGGGGCATCGTGATGGGGTACAAGGGCTCGTCCTCGAGAATGGCGTCGAAGATCTCGTCCTCGTCGTCTCCACGGAACGGAGACTGACCGAGCAACATCTCATACATCAGCACACCGAACGCCCACCAGTCGACTGCACGCCCGTAGCGCTGCTCGAGAAGAATCTGCGAAGTATGCGTAAGACAAGGTGAGGAGTCCGCGTATTATGGCGACGCACCTCGGGAGCCATGAACTCCGGAGTACCACAGAACGTGCTCGTCGTCAAACCGAACCACATCTCCTCCTTGCACAGACCGTAATCGGCCACCTTGACGTGACCGTCCAACGTGAGCAGGATGTTATCGAGCTTCAGATCGCTGCGCAGATTGACGTATTAGTATTACACCTTCTGATAAGGGTGTCCGGTCTTACCGGTAGATAATGCCGTTGGCGTGGAAGTATTCCAAAGCGAGCAACACCTCCGACGCATAGAACTTGGCCTGCCGCAGCGAGAACTGCTTCCGCTGGATATGCAGCATGAGATCACCACCGCTGACATACTCCATGACGAAGTAGACACGGGTCTCCGTCTGGAAACATGAGTGCAGCCCAAGCAAGAAGGGGTGCCGCTCGCGGGCAGCGGCCAAGAAGACCCGCTTTTCTGAGCGTGTGCTGTTGAAACAACATTCAGCGTCCTGCTCGAGCTATACTTGCAAAGCTACGGAAAGCGTACCTCTCGACTTCGTCGTTGTCGATGATGAACTCCTTCTTCAGGACCTTGATGGCATACAGGCTGTTCGTCTTCTTCTCCTCGGCGAGCATGACCTTACCGAAGTTACCCTTACCGAGGACGGCGAGGAAGTTGAAGTCGTCGAGCCCGACTTTCCGCTTCCGTGCGGCCGCTTGGCGGATTTGCTGTTGCGCATCCACTGGTGGGACCGGCGGGAGAGAAGCCTGCCGGTCGGCAGGGGTCATGCGAGGAGCCATGCCCTGGGCGGGGTTAGCGGGCAGGGTAGGCTGCTTCTGAGGAACAGGGGGGACGGCCTAATACAAACAAGCCGTTAGTGAATGCATTGGCCACATGGGAAAAGTCCGTTATACCTGATAAGCGTCCGGCGGTGGCGGTATCTCGTACCCAGACACAGGAGGACCGGGGTATGCCTGCTGAGGCTCCGAGGGGAAGGGTGGCGCGACACCAGGTCGTCCAGGCGGCACCGGCCGCCCTGAAGGCTGTTGAGGGAACCCAGGCGGAGGGACTGGTTGGCCGCCGAAACGCGGATCCGCTTGCGCAAGGTCGTGCGCAGGACTGCCAGTGCGCTGGCCGTATCCCGGTGCGGGCTGGGGAGGCACCTCACCAAGCCGCATACGCTCCATCTGGTCGATGGGTGCTTGAGACTCGGCTGGCGAAAGGTGCAAGGCTGGATGCGCCTGCTGTGGTGAGACGCGCGACTGGGTGGGGCGGCGTTGTTGCTCCTTGATGGCGCGCATGTCGCGGAGCAGTTGGTTGGCGGTCTCCATCGACATACCGCAGAAGTCGGGCACCAAATGCGCACAGTTGGCGTGGCAGGTGATGCCGCACTCCGTGCATCGTCGAGCGTTCTTGCGACCAAGGGGGAGCATGTAGCCGCAGTGGCAGCACCAGTTCGCGCCGATGTTGTTGATGGGCTCGAAACGGTGGGGGATGCGGTGGTTGATCTTCTCTTCGTCCTCCTGTGATATATACGGCGCGGGACATTAATCACATATTAGACTTCGGACGGACGGAACCACTTACCCCTGTATTCGACTTTGATATACACTTGGTGACAACCTTCTCGTAGCACTTCTTGTGACAAGTGTATCGGCAATCTTCGCATTGGTACCCGACGGCGTTGAGCAAGAACTCGTTGCAGAAGGCGCAAAGGATGATCTGGTAGAACTGCCGCTGAATGAACTTGTGTCCGTTCATCTCGTGCACCTCGTCCTTGCGCTTGCGGACTGCACCCTGACGTCCGAGCCCACCGGGAGCATCGAGTGGCCGCTTGCGGACGTTCTCCTTGACTGCGGTGACGTTGAAGTCGCAATATAATATACCTGTCAAAAGGCCACTTACTGAAGTTTAACCGCAACGCGACAGCACCGGCGGGCTCTACGGCAAACCATGCATCAATCCCGTCAGCACTGACACCTCCGGGCATCCCAGGGACGGCACCAGCCACGGGGACGGGCGCGTTGTTGAACTGGATGGGAGAGTTCATGTCACTCATGCTGGTTGACTGCCCCGAGAAGCCGGCTGCGTCGCCGTTCATCGCGCCGGCGGTGACCCACCCACCCTGCCCGCTCTCTATCAGGACCTTCTGCCGCCTCTGCGCCTCCACGAGATCGTTGATTTTGATCCATAGCAGACCGATGAGGGTCGGGTGCTGTTCGCTAGCCTGCTTGTCGTACACGGCGATTTCGACCTCGTTTGCTTTATCGATGGTGATCTCGAAGTCCTCCATCCAACGGTCGGTCTTGGTCGGGTGGGAGCGCGCGCGCTGCGTACCCTCAATCCGGAACGAGACATAAGTCTCAATCTGCTTGGAAGCGGAACGCGACCTGAATGTTGACACAATGGGCGCGTGGTCCAGCTCGCGCGCTCCTTTGAGGGTAACCAGAAGCTTCCCAGACAACGGTTTTGACCGAAGGTTATCCTTGCGCTCGCCGCCCACTCCGGGGCCTGCGGGGCCGGGACCAGGACCTGAGGCTGCTTAACGCGGTTTGCTGAGCTCGGCCAATCTCCGTAGCTTGATACATTACTCACCTGGTTCCTCCTCCTCCTCGACATCATCAAGGATATGCAGTGTTTTGTACCGCTTCAAAGCAGACTGAAGCAGTTGGATCTTGCGCTCACTCTCGATGCGCTTGCTCTCTGCATCCGCTCTAGACTTCTTATCACCGTCTGCCTGATAGAGTTTGGCCATCTTGTCGATGCCTCGTTTGTACTGCATCTCGACCTGGAGCTTGTACTCGAGCTGATGGAGCATACGCGAGATCTTGGCGGTGGTGTGCGGCGTGTCGGCCTTGATCAGGTCCAGGTTGGTGTAGGTCTTGGGCTTCGGCGCACCGTAACCGTCGTCTACCGGCGGACCCCCGGAGGCATGCAGCTCGGGAGAGCGGGGACCGTTCCTCGCGTATTCTGAGGCGGACGAGGAGCCGCCGGAATAGCGATTGACCTCGCCAGGACGAGGCATTCGTGGTGACTGAGGGAGGCCGGGTTGAGACGAGCTAGTGCTACTTGATCGGGAGTGATCGTCGCGCTGCTGCATCATCTTGCGAGAATGCAGCTCGCGGAGGGTGTCCTCGAAGTAGGAGAGCGAACGCTCCGCCTCGCGGATCTTGGCGTCGTTCTTGCGCAGGACATCGGGGTTACTGGTAGCCTGGCGAATGAGCTTGGATGCCTCGAGGAACTTGCGCTCGGTCTCGATGCGCTTGTAGACGTCCTGGATCTTCTGGTCCAGCTCGTGCGCCTGCGAGCGGGTGATACGCGCGTGTAAGCGGTCGGCGACGGCGGGGCGATGGCAGAGATGGGGTGCTCACCATGGCGGTCTGTGTGGTCGTCGCCCGCAGTGGCGGGGTGCGTGGGTCGGTCGGCAGACGTGGAGAGAGAAGACAAGGTGGTTTGCTGAGAGAGCTGCTCTCCGTCGATTCCGCCGAGGGGCAGTGATTGTGTGTATCTGCTTGGGTCACCGCCACCCACCCCACATCCGGTAATGATAAGATCTTATCGCCTCCCTTTTGTCCGACAACCTATATTTACCATTTCTACCCCGGATCGCGTCCCCGCCGAGCCTCGACGCGTCTTCATCGTCCCCCATGCCCTCCTTCGCCTCGACATCTGAAGTGCGCGACGGCGCAGACGGTGTGCTGCTCGTTCTGCGCGCACGACACGTCTTCGTGGTCGGGACGCCCTCTAGCGACGCGCATACAGTCAAGGGCCGCCTTCCGGACGACCTGGACGTAACCGTCGAATCGGACCTGGTCGTAACCCTCACGGGCATGGTAAACCGCGTCAAAATCGATGCCCATAGAGTACAATCCTCGGCGATAGCGAAGCACCTACTGCACTACTTCCATGTGGTGCGTACTGCCTCGCCCCTCTTTCACCCGCATTCCGATGCCGTGGTACTCTCTCGCTCATGTCATGCGGTGCAAATTCGCAACGTTCGTTCGGACAGAACGGCGAGCAGCTCGGTGTACGACCCGCGTCCAAGCTATTTGTCGATGAATCCGACGGCGTCACCAAGCGTGCGTGGGCCTATTGACATTTTCCGTTTGTATGCCACAGCCGCTGAACGCGTGCTCACTCAGTGACGCTCAGCCCGACACGGCCCATTTTGCCCTCACGCTCGGCGGACGCCGTGCGTTTGTCCGCGATCGAACTCTTGTATATCTTCAAGACGCGACCCCTGGCGGGACCGCAGCAGCAGAGCCTCCACACCGCGCACACCCGTTCGTACTCTCCGCCTTTCAGCGTCAGTCCCGCTCAGCTTCTACGCGCGGCGTAATGTAGATGCCGACCCCAACACAACTGCGGACCCCTTTTCACCGCATGCATTCCTTCCCCTAGTCGCCGCGCTCGACCGCACGGTGGACAGGTTTGCTGCTCTCTTCGTAAGGTACGCGCTCTTCCGTCGTCTCCGATAATCCTTGAATTTGAGCGGCCGGCAGGCGCTACCCGCTGATATTCGGACCGTGGCGCGAGGTGCGCCGCATATACCCAACCTCCGGCAGCATCTGACCGACGGAACGATCGTCGTCGCTATTTCGGGGAGTAGAGGTATGATGCGGAGGTCGCTGCTTCTCTCAAGCTCGCCCGCGCTGTGGCAGATATCATAGCCCGGTCGCCACACGCGCAGTTCCGCAAACAGTCGCGTCGGCTGCTCAAGGTACGGTCCCCCTGTATTACTGTGTCGCTTCGACTTAGCTGAGATGGCTGCGTCTTAGATAATGCACGGCAATAACGCCTCTGCGTCTTCTACGTCAGTGGGCGCTCTGCGTAGGCTTTTGCAGAGCGGTCAAACAGCGGTGGACGATATCCCCCCTCCTGACGGTGAAAGTGAGTTACTTCCAACTCAGGATCATTTCGAGATATTGTGCCACTCGATGGAACGGTTATTCAAGTCCGGCCGGGGGCCAATGCGCTACAAGGTATTTTATGTTTCCTTTCACACTTTGAAACCTTCCGCTTCGACCAGTGCTGCGCTAAAACCTCACCTTTCCTGCGCTTGCTTTCCGCTCGCATCGCGAGTAGAGCGTATCCTCTTCGGCAATAAGCGGATGCTCTACAAAAGATGTCGACGACGACTTTGCACTGTCGGAGTCTCGCTCCGAGTCGCCTCCGGTGATGTTCCGCGTCGGCGACGCAAGCGATGGGCGGTCTGTATCCTGGTCTGGCCTGGATCTCGACTTGGACCTCGATTCGGGCCTAGATCTAGATGTGGATGCTCCTCGGGGCCGAGACGAGCTATGTTTCGACGAGGATACGGAGACTACGGGTGGGAGCCAGGAACTTGAGCTTGGCGACGACATGTTCTTCAGCGACGACGACGGCTTCATTGACGAGACTGACCCCTGGTCCGCGGATGAAATGGACTGTACGCTGGACGGCGCTGTGGACGACTTCGACGACCTCTGGACGAGTTCGCAGTCGACTTTGGATGTTTGTGGTTTCTCGTACCCTGCAATTACCTTCGATGATCGCCGACCGTTTTACAGGACGAGGCTTTTGAGTGGGAGGAGCATGCGTTGGGATCTTCCCAGTCGTCAGGCGCTGCTGTCTCATCCTCCAATTCTCGCCCCGGTCTGCGCGCTGGAAGCCCGGACGTATTTCTGGCTCACGATGACGACGACGACTGGCTAGACCATTCCGCGGATGCTGAAAGGCGACTCGACGATCTCTGCCATGAGACTCTCGCCGTGCCCGAACAAGTTGTTGAACTGATGCTTGTGGACACTTCAGGGCCGCCGTTCGACTCTCTGGGACTTGAGCTCTCCTTTGCCGACGTCGACGCGCTTGACTTTGAACCTAATGCTGGTCTACTGGAACTCACCGGTGGCGCTCAGGCTACATCGACAGCGCACCTTCCTCTTCGCGCGGGCGACGATCTTGCGTACGGCACGCGCGGTTCTATGGCATTCCTGGCGCCCTTCACATTGACCACGCCGCGCACCGCCGGGTCGTTCGACGCGCCTGCATGGCGATCATCTGACGACAGCGAGATCCCTTCCGAGCTGACAACGACCTTCTCTTCTGCTTCGCCTCCTCCTGATCCTGGCCGGGCGAGCCGGCGCACCCTGCACGCCACGAGCCAGGGGGCGTCGTGCTCGCCTGTGGCAGCATCTCCTCCCGCGGCGTGGTGGGCTATCGATGGAGGGGCACATGCGCGGAACGAGGACGGCCTCGTTGCAGGGCACGCGCCGGGGACGATAAGGCCTAGGCAGGGGGGGCTCGTGAAGGGGTTGACCGGCTGCCTGGGGGTAGGGGGGCTTGGAACGTTAGGGTCTGATAGGGAATGGGACGAAGAGGGCGAGGAGTCGGACGCGATGCTCTGGGCTGAATAAGTGGGGAAGCTTCACCGGATCGAGCGCACGCTGTTTCCCATGGGCTGCCAGGATGTCGTGGAGGTGTATATATACGGCGCGGCTGCGTCGAGACTGGACGTGAACTCTGCGCTTGCTGTTTACTCGAACTCTGCGCCCAGAGCGAACCTCCAAGGCGACAACGGCGACCGAGACAGCGATCGACAGGCGCGCGGAGATTACGTCACAGCCGGTGTATTTCGGAGTCCGCCCATACTCCGGCGCAGCTGAGTGGAGCGGAGTGCAAAAGGTAGGGGATAGAGGAGGGGCGGGAGGGGAGGACGCTCAGCAACTGACTACCATTTGCCATCTCTGCCTGGAATCTGAAATCGCCGCTGCTTCTTCAAGCCCAAGGCTTCTGCCCGTCGCCCATCCCGCTCGACAGAGCCTCCCGTCCCCTTCCCCTGCTCGCACATCGCCCTCCATCCACCATGCTGCCCGCCAAGCGCAACAAGGTCGACCTCAGTGTGCGTTCAATCCCCTCGCGCTCCGCGTGGATGTGCAGCAGTAACAGTCATGCTCACACTCGCGACCCTACAGAAACTCACGGAGGAGGAGCAGAAGCTCTTCCGCCTCTACGGCAAGCTCCCGACGCACAAGAATGTGCTCACGAAGATGCAGAAGGTGCGCCTCCGCCGCCCCCGCTCTGTCTCATCGCGCGTATCTAACCAGGCTTTCGCGCGCACGCAGGATCGGAAGTACTTTGACTCTGGGGACTACGCCCTGAGCAAGGCCGGAAAGGCGCCGCAGAACACCGTCGGCACCGCCATCCCCAGTCCCGAGAAGTGCGTGCCCGCGACAGTTGTGATGCGTATCCCGATACTGATATCATCGCGCCGCGCCCTCCAGCATCCCCCACGCCACCTCTCCCCCGGTGCACCAGGCTCTCTCTGTGTCGCCGACGAACTCGAACATGACCCAGAACCCCGCCAAGGAGAGTTCGCTCGCGGAATCAGAGCCCGCCGAGGACGATATGGTCGAGCAACCTGAGGCGGAGGAGGAGGCAGCGTTGGAGGCCGAACGTGCCTAACATGCTGAGGCCTACGCCGCGCGCATCCCGCCCCACTCTCACCTTTCTTGCCTGCGTGCGCGTGCCATAGCAACTGCGCCCCACCCGCCGCTCCACGCCGCCCGCTGACCGGAGCACCTGACGTGCGCCCCTCTCCCCCATCGCTCCTCGGCTTCCACATCCGCTCCCGTTCACGCGCTCTCCCTCCCGTCACGTCCCCAAATGCACCGGAACCTGCCTGCCACGTCCCGTATCCATATTCATTGTATCACACCTCGGTCCCCCCATCATCGCGTCACGATCACCGCTGTCACCTCTGTCGTCTATCTACCTGCCTGTACTGGAGCATATACACTACTTGCACCCGGATCGTATGCAGGGGGCGCGTACGGATGCATGGGTAAGATCGCGCGGAGCTTTCGTCTTCTCCTGCCTCCGTGTTCCCCTCTTTCTCACCTGTTCCATGACTCCTTCTGCGCTCCGTCCGCAGGCCTGTCCCTGCCTGCAGCGCATGTTGGGGTGGGGAGTGAGAGTGCATGCTCGGGAGCAGAGAGAATCATGGAAGCCGTACTCCGTCATCCAATGGCCGCAGGTCAACTTCGATTCGGCCGTATCCGCGCCCCCGCTGCTTTTTCCCATCCACCCTCATCCACCCCCTCGCCCTCGCAGCGTGCAGGAAGCTACTACTACTTCTGTAATTCTAGCGGGCGTGCACGCTCCGGCGTGTGTTCGCCCATGCCGTGTGTGGTCTGCCGCTCGACGTAACTCGAAGATATAATGTAATATGGTATACGATCGCTTGTACATATGCATGCCCTTTAAGTCTCGTCACATTCGCAGGAAGAATACACATTGTGAGCCGGTGCATATGGGCGCAGCGCGCTACACCATTTGAGGGTGTGCTGGTCGCCCCGGGTGTCTCATTAACCATCCTTGTGGGTGGCATGGCAGGCCATGAGGCATGAAGTGTTAAGGTATTCCGTCGATGTCCTCGAATAATTGCCCGAGGACAGTAGAACACCTATGTTGGTCACAAACCTCGAACATGCCAAACAAAATATTATCGGAGGATCTAAGAGTTTGAATCGCGTCTCACTGCTGGTGCTTAAGCGCTTAAGCGCTTACTCCTAATGGTCATTAATATTGTGGGCGTCTGTATACGCCGACATTGCACGGGCGCCTCTAATATGTTCTTTGCCTCTTACCACACTCGGAGCTCTCTTTCGCTGTTTGACCACGCCTTGCTCGCATGGTACCCCTGGATGATCTCATGTATGAAATCCAAATAATAAGTATCAGCGCGTAACATATCCAATAATGCGAGGTAAACGAATAAATTTAGTGCACGCATTACAGGAGTGAGCTAATGTTCACCCTTACCGGTAACCGGCGACCGCTGACCGCTGAAGTATGTATGGGACTTTCCTTCGTGTACATCATGCGGAATGGTTTGAGGCTGTGTTTGCACTACGGTAACTTCGCCTGGCGTTTATCTGTGCTCACAGCATTCGATGGGCCGTCTTGGATGAGCGGCGGCTCGTGCAGATCCTCCATTACAATGCCACAATCACACCCTCGAATATAGCACGAGGATCGTGCAATCTAAAGAGTCGATACACGCAGGGGCCGACACAGCCGACCCACCCGGTCATTACCGCAGCGCTCCGGCACGATGCGCCAACATTCGAAGGTGTTCATACCACCACGCCTTATGTGCGCCTGCACAGTGTACAGCCTATATAAACCATCTCGTAAGTACCCTGCCCTCTCCATTCACCATGGCCCCGACGCTCATGCAAGCGGATACTAAGTTGTACCAGGACCTCCTCCCGCATCCTCTCCATGCAAGCCACATCCGTTTGCACCTGCTAACGACGAGGCAATTGGCCCCCCTTACGGAACATCTATCAGACAAGGCCGTGCCAGTCTGCGGCGTGTCTATGCGCCTGCCATCGAAAGAGCACGATGCAGTCAATCATATCGCCTTCGCCACCACTACGGACGTCTTCTACGCCAAATTCGCTCACACTGAGAAAAACCTCTTGCACGGGAAGAAGAACCTCGCACGCGTTCTCGACGGCTCACACTGCATACTCGCTGGATTCGGAATGCCGCGCCTAGCCCTTCACCTCCACCGATCATGCGGGTTCCACGTGGAGGGCGTCGAATTGTCAGCCCTGTTCGACAAGAAAATTCTAACCGCAGCCGAATTCGCATCAAAACAGATACCCAAGGGCGTAAACAAGAGGAAAATCCACGCACTGGCATACGGAAATGATATCGAAGACGTGTGCCTTCGCGCGTGGCTTTCCGCCGTGTGCGTGCATTTTCCTCCAGTGCCTTTCACAACACAGCTGACGTCCAGTATTTTGGACAGCCTGGCGACAGGGGCCCTCAAGGAGGTGCGGTGTGCAAGGACGATCGACACGCGCAACCTCCCAGATCCCCATCTCGCGTGCTTGTCACAGCTTATTCTCAATGTCGAGCTTCTGGAAGGGGAACGCTCGTCAACAGCGGAAGGCGAAATCGAGGGTGTGGAGGTCGGCGTAGACGGCCAGCTCGTCATCCAGAATGCCAGATTTAATACCCGCGTCAGACGCAGCAAACAGGTAATCTCTTACCATCATGCTATTGTTCTTGCTGCTGTTTTCTCATCGGCGTGCGTACAGACCTCCATCGTCATAGAGAATAAGCAAGGGCACAGTGTCGTCGGCCAAGCGGTACGCGCCGACGGCAAGAAGACCACGCTGAAAGTCACCGGGGGGAACCTCCGCGGGGACATTAAGAGCGTACGCGTGGAAGGGCGCGAGGAGCTTACAAGCGCAGAGCTTGCTCGCGACGAGTTTGTCCTCCTTCTTCTGCAGGGCGTCTTTCCGTCTCTCGTCGAGTCGCCCTACATTCGTATGCTGTGGTTTTCGACTGAGAAGTCGCCGCGCTATGAGCCGACGGCCATTCCACCGTTTGATCCGAAAGTCTTCAAGCTTAATCAATCCCAGGAGCGGGTCGTGGGCGCGATGCAGGGGGAAAACGAACCGCTAGTTATCGTCCACGGTAAGTGGCATGAGTCCTATACATTCGTGTTGCTGTGTTTCACGTGCTCTTCAGGTCCCCCAGGTACTGGTGAAACGAGCACGATCGCAGCTGCCCTCCATCTATGGCAAGTCGAGCGACGCCCAGTCTGGGTCATCGCGCAGTCGAACGTCGGGGTGCAGAATATCGCGGAGAAGCTTCACGAGAAGGAGATCGACTTCAAACTACTCGTATCGAAAGAGTTTCATTTCGAATTGTGCGGCCATTCGCTCGCTCCATGATGAGATCGTTTTATTAACATGTTGCTATCCTAAAGGCACCAGGACCTGTACAAGGGCCTTGAACAGCAGTTCATCCGCTCAGATGAATTGTTTACGCCGGGAGCGGATGTGGTGCGCGCGCTGGGGACGTCGACCATCATGCTGTGCACAATCTCAATGTTGTCCAACCCTGCGATCGACGAGTGTGGGATCTTCCACATCATCCCTGTTGAGAGACTCGTCGTGGATGAGGCGTCGCAGATCGATACGTTCGAATTCATGGTAAGCAGGGCCTCGCAATAATATCCGAATATCGATGCTCATGCACGCCAATCTCTCTACCTTAGCACCTATTTCACAAATTCCGAAAGCTGAAGAAGGTTTGCATGTTCGGGGACCCCAAACAGCGTGAGTGCTATGAACTTGTCGTGAGCCGCGCGGTACTCATGCGTCATCTCGGGCCAGTGCCTCCTTACGGGAAGGAGACCGCGCCGGAGATGAAGACGATCTACGACTTCGAGCAGTTTTCGGATTCCACGTACCTTCTCGACACACAGTACCGCATGCCTACGCAGCTGGGCGACTTCATATCGGAAGAAGTATACGAGAACAAGCTGACGTCTGATCACGAAATCACAGACTGGAGCGCCATCCGCTTCATTGACGTGCGGAAGGGCCAGGAAGAACACGTTGGCTTGAGCTGGAAGGTAAGTACAAGTAGCGGGTCTTCGGTGGAGATGATGTAGCTAAGCTGTTATTCTGCAGAACACAGAGGAGGCCCGCGCAGTCGTGAACATCGTCAAGAACTACTACAAAACCAAAGACTATTGCATCATCACGCCTTACGACGCCCAACGTGCTGCAATCGTCCGCCTGCTCAAAGCCGCGGGATTGCCATGTGAGAAAGTATTCAACGTGGATAGCTTCCAGGGTGCGTCCACACCATCTCACCAGTGCGCTGCAGGCCCCACCTTACTAAGGCTGCATCGCACACCATAGGGCATGACGCAGACTTTGTCGTTGTTTCTGCTGTGCGTACAGGGGCACCAGGCTTCCTTCGTTCACAACACCGCACGAACGTCATGCTCACGCGCTGCAAGCGCGGAATGGTCCTCGTCACCAAGCGGGACTTCCTCAATGGGGCCGGGAAGAAGACCCTCCTCGGGAAGCTAGCAAAGCGCTGGTCCAACGGCGCACAGGGCCGCGCAGACGTGTGGATCGACGGCCTCGCCCTGTCGAGTGGCCAAGCACGCTTGCCCACTGGTGAACCCACCTTGCCCGAGGTCCCCAAGCAGGATAACGCTGCGACCGCGACGGCCCCGAGACCCTCTGCGCGGGTTCCTCAGTCAGCACAAACACCGGCTGTCTCCGCCCCTTCAGGAAGACGTGGAGTTTCTACGGCTCGGACAACAGCATCTCCTGGGGCATCGATCCGGACCTTCAAGAACAAGTCCCCCTTACAACCTCAGACACCCGGCAGGAAGTCCACCGGGCCAGTGGGTGGCAATTGGTCCACTTCAAAGGCCCCGTCCCACCCACATTCAGGCAGTAGGGTATCGCAACCAGCTACTCGACCACCACGCGAGAATAAGCCCTCGGGCCATACTTAGATCTGGCGTAGGCTCGCGAAGCGCCCCTTCGACCTCGTCCGATCCCGACAAACAATCTAGGAAGGCAGACATGCCCCCTTTGCGCCACGAGGGGCCGGACGCGTCCAAACTCGACCTAGTGCGCAACCAAGTTCCTGTCCTGGCATCCACACCAGCTCCGGAGACTTCGCTCTCCACACGGTCGATCTCGTCATCTACGTGGGCTGAATGAGCTGTGGGTTGATCACACCGGGACCTATAGATGTGTTCATATGTATTGCGCGGCGTAAGGATAGTGGGAGAGAATCTATGGGGAGTTCCGAGATAAAGTACTACTACAAAGTGACGGTGACGTAGATGACGAGAGGGAGCGACCTATAATTTACAATACTATTGTCAAGTCGAGTAACGAGAGATATGTGGGAAGGAAGGGAGAGAGAACGACTGGTAGGTAGATAGCAAACGAAGCAGGAGAGCAGTCGGTGCGAGAGCATAGTCTAGCGAGGGAGGGGAGCTTAGGAGGAAATCAACTATACGTATCTCGTACAATACCACAGTCTACCGCGGCGCAGCGGAACCCCAAATAAGAATACGATGCACGACGGAGACGTTCAGTGCGAGCTATATGCAAGGCTGGCGGTGGGGTTCACGAACCCCGCGAAGCTCGGCGAGTCGTACTCGAACAAGTCCGACTCCGTGTCCGAGTCAGACTCGTCCTCGGAGTCTTCCTCGTACGTCGGTGAGAGCACGTTCGCAGCGTGGCCGTGACCGTTGCTGTGGTTGCTGCCATTCACGTTGAAGACGTCGACGAAGGGCGTTGGCGGAACGTCTCGTTCTGCGCCCTCGGCCGACTTCGCAAGGATCGCTGCGACCCGTGCCTCCAGCTGGCGGTGGGGCACTACGCCCGCGCTGGCAGTGGACTGTGGGGTGCCGCCGGGGCTCACGATGTCTACGAGCGGCTCCTCCTGGAAGTAGCTGCTGAGCTCGTGTAGGTTCTGCACCATGTCGCCTAGGTCGTCCCCGTCCGCATCGCGGTCTTCGTCGCGCTCGCGGTGATGGTGGCGATGGCGTCCGACGCGCCCGAGCGCGAGCGCAGCGAGCTCGTCGTCCGGCTGGAAGTCGATGCGCGACGGGCGGAGCGTGCCCTTCCCAAGGTCGAACACAGCAGCGACATTTGCGCGGCACGTCTCACGGTGTACGGTCGCCCTGGGGGAACACCAGCCGGAATCCTGAGCGATGCCGAACACGTCCGCGACGGACTCAACGTCGCGTGCGTTGGCGCGGAGGTGGTGGTGGAGGCTCATGCGCAACACGTGCTTAGCGGCGGGCCCGCCCGAGATCTGCATCGGCTCGTCGAGCACGTCGAGCGCCTGCGAGGCGAGGTCGGTCTCGAGTAGGCGTAGGAGGGGCATGAGCAGCTCGGAGCCAAGCAGGTCAACCTGACTCTTCGTCTCGCGCTGCTGGAAAAGCACCTTGAGGATCTGCATCGTCTGCACCCGCAGCCAACGCGTGTTGTTCAACACGAGGCCCATGAGGAGCGTGATGACCTCTGTCCAGTGCTCGGCACCGTAGTGCTCGCGCAAGCTCGCAACGGACTGCCGCAGGAAGTCGTCCCGTGTGCGGAAGCGCGCCTTGGCGAAGGATGTCATGATGCGCTGGATGCTTGGGCGTTCCTCCTCCTCGGCCAGCCGACTGATGTTCAGCGCGAACTCCTGCAGGGACTCGTCCTTACTGTCCTCGCTCATGGCATATAGACACCACGGCAGCGACAGCGTGTAGAGGTCCCGAACACGACCCCCGGACGCGTCGATCAACCTCGGGTCGTCGACGTTCGCAAGGCGCTCCAGGAGCCTGAGCGTAAGTCCCGAGGTGACCGATGAGCGCAGTCCGGATAGCAGATTGGGTTGCAGTGTGGTCGTACCGGTCCAGTTGGTTGGCATATATTGGAAGAGGAGGTCGGCCGTGTTGGGGTCATCGAGGTCGATCCGAGTGAGCACGGCGTCAAGCAGCTGTAATGTGTGGAGGTACTCCGTCTCGACAGTCGTCGACAGACACGCGACGGAACACCAGAATAGCTGCGGGAGCTGGTTCGCCTCGAGGTCGCTTGAAGAAGCTAGGGCCGTCAAGGTGCATAGGATCTCGACGTTGAAGCTCTGAATCGCGGTATCCTCATCGGCGATAGTGTTCGCAAGTCGGCCTAGGAGCATTCCAACGTGCGTTGGCCCAATTTGAGGCGTCAAGGCACGGTATAGCTGGAGAGAGCGGAATGCGATGGGGCGGATAGAACAAGCGGTCCCCCAGTTCAAGGCAAGCGTACCCCACTGCTCTGACAGTGCGGGGTGCAGCGGTTCCACGAGGTTGAGTACCGCGTTGCCGAACCACCTCATCTTCCCCTCGACATCCGTAGAATTCTCGTCATCCTTCCACGTTCGCGTGCCTATCTCCTTCTCCAGATCCTGAATCGCCGCTTTCAGCTCCGGGCGAGATCGGTATAACGACCGGTCGGGTAGTTCGTCATAGCCCGTGAGACACGAGCGTAGAAGTTGGAAGAGCATGTGCCGCGAACGCTGCTGGACGAACGGATGGCGGTGATCCAGATGCATGAAGAGCGCGTGGAACAGGACCGGGAGTTGGTCCTGAAATTCCCAATAACGTTCTAGAGCCGTCTCCGAAAGGAAAAGAAGCGCATACTGGGCGACGCCGAGGGACAGACGCGGCTCTCCCGAAAAGAGAATGTCCAGATCAGACCATAGCTCGAGGTCCTCATGGTTCGGAGGTGCCAACTTGTGCTCGATACTGGGCAGCATCCGCGCGGGCTCCACCACGCTGCAAAGTTCCTCGACCATCTGGCGACCGATCGCGCTTTGGGATAGACATGCGACGATTTTGGCAGCGCAGCTGATGAAGATGGTGCTACCGACCTTGTGCGACTGTTCCAGTAGGAAGCGAATGACAGCATGACCATTGGATTGGTTCGGCGTGTCCACAAGCCGAGTCCACAAAACCAGGACTTGCTCGGCATATGACTCCGCATACCGCAACGTGAGGGCCATCAAGTGGTAGATCGTGAGACGGCCTTCACTAGAGAGCCCCGACTTGTCATCGTTCATGAGGTCGATGCTGGGCACCCAGTACTCGAGGCTTTGAAGGAGCAGCAAGACCCCGCGTTCCGAGCGATTGTCGAAGACCCTAGGTAGCCAATCCGCCAGCTGAGCCAGAACTTTGATCGCCTGATCAGGGTGTTCGCCCGCGAGCACATCCGATATGAGCCGGTGGGCGTGAAGGTACGTGCTCGGTGCTGAGCTTCCAACGGCGGCCTCATACTGAGACAACGAGATGATTCCCATGGACTGCTCATGGACCATCTCGAGCATGTTGAAGGCCTGACGGCGTATCTCAAGGAGAGGATGGCAGAGATTGGATAGGCCGAGGCATACGACTTGAGCAAAGCTGAACGCAGTGGCGGCGCCGCTAGTAAGCGCGTCAGCGACGACTTCGAAGAAGCGCGCGTTGCTGGTGTCGAGCTCCCGGGAGGTCACGAAGGCTCGACGCAGGCACTCGTCTAGGAAGCCTGGACTGCAACGACTGTAGCACAGCAGGGAACGCAAGGCTTTCCTGAACATCAGAGTCAGCCTCCTATCTTTTATATGCCAGGATAGCATACACTCACTTTCCGGCAGCTTGCACGGGTTCGTGGAAAGAAGCCAGAATCGCAGTCAGCCGGTCGAAAGTGGAGCCAACCTGAAGAGGCCGCAGGGAATCCAGGCCCTGCCGGTCTGTTGGAGAGTTCGACTCGACATCCGGAGGAAAGAAGGCCTTTTGCTACGGGATACGGTCAGTGCTACTGCCCACAAACCACGCAGTACCGGACTTACGCAAAGAGAAGCCATAGCGCCGATCGCCGCGTGCGACAGTGCCCGCGTCTCCGTTTGGAAGACCTGGATGATCTCCGCTTGACTTGCGGGGTCACTGTACGATTTCGCCGCCATGGTTTGCATGTACACCAAGCGCTTCTTCACGTCTTCGGACTGCTTCCCGAGCTGACACCAGTCCTCGCACATCGTGTACAGCGCCAGGTGCAGGTTATGCGGGATGAAGCGGTCGGAGTCCTTCAACGTTGCCAGAGCGTCGAAGAGTCGCTCGATGGTGCCACAGAAGTATCGTCGGAGGCGCTGCATCGAGAACCGCTCGCGATTGTCTGGTGACATGAGGAATGTCTGCATATTCCGAAGATACTTCAGGACGTATGTTAGTGCCGCCTGCCTGCCCGTAGACCGTTGATCTTGTAACGAGTGCGCTGTGAGGAAGTAGATGCGAGCGACCGCTGTGTGGAATCGCTCCAGTCGGCGAGCACGCCCGATCGTAGGCGCCGCGGTGGCTGCTTTCGCCCTTGGATCATCCCAGTGTTGACGAGACTGGAGCTTGCTCAGATCTTCCAATAGGTGTGAGTAGCCATTAGCCGGGAACGAGCTGATGCACGATACGGCCAGGTCGCGGAAGACGGTGAAGTCCGAGTCGAGGAAGCGGCTCAACGCCCAGAAGAGATCGTGCGTGGTCTGCATCTGGTCGGTGCCAAATTCAGTATCTGATCGCGCACGAGAGTGATCCCGCATCCCGCCCAGCGCTGCTCGGGTATCCGAGACAAGTGCAGTAGAACAGACGAGTTTGATCCAAGAATGCCACTGGGCGATCACGTCCCTGTTCTCCGATACTAGGCGAGCACCATCGCGGTCCCCAGATCCCGTACGCTGAGGTACGTTGGTCGGAAGCCGCGAATTTACCCCCGAAAGCTGTTGCATGAGATGCGTGCCGCGAGCGGCGGCAGTAATCAGCTTCTCCCGAAGGGTGGTTCCGATAGATGGCGAATGATCCATGTACGTTTGGACGAACTGCGAGTAGACGTGCCGCCAAATCGTCCTGTCTGTGGAGTGTTCGCTGTCTGCAAGCCGGACGAGTTTGTCAGGATTAGTAGACTGCCGCCACTGGCCCAGTCTTGCAAGGTGCTCGGGTTCCAGGATGTCGTCCAGACCACGGAAGAAGATGTCAGAGGAACCCTCTTCGAACAACCCATGGACGAAGGCGAAAAGTTCGTGGGGGTTGATAGAGGCTGGGGTGGAGGGCTCCGGACACATATGTTCCATGAGGAGCTTCAAGAACCGGATTGACTTCACGCCGACAGTGTACGCGGACGCCTTGCGGTGCGCCAGTAGGAAGAGGGCGCCCGTCTCGATCTCTTCCACTCGCGCCACGATGTTCTCCGTCTCCTCGATCGTCCACGCTTGTAGTGGTTTCTCCAGCGTCTCGTGAATCCAGCGGTCAACGAAGCTGATCCAGAGGTTGAGAAGGCGCGTGCACTCGATGGGAAGGCGCATCCCGAAACCTTCCAGTGCGATAGAAGAGGGGCTAAAGAGGAACGCGGAGAATCTGGAGAGCAGGACCGGACCACGAGCGGGATCCGCCATGAACCGCTGCAGTGCGGCAGTAGCTGCCTCCCCAACGGCAGGTTCGATATGGATGACTCCCCGGATGAGCATGTCGAAGGCGTCGTCCAGCGAGAGGGACGAATGGAGACAGCGCGGCCACGACTGGTAGATGACCAGCAGCACGTTGATCTGCGGGCTGTATTGGTCAGAGTACGCCACGGAGCCTTCGGGGTGGTGCTTGATGATATAGTTGTGTGTCTCCTCGTAGGCGGGCCCGAGGCGGGAAGTAGACCACTGCTCATCCAAGACGGACCACTTGCCAACGGACTGGTAGCACGCTGAGGCAACAAGGGCAAGACAGGAGGTGGCACGGTCTAGGAAGTCTACCCAGTTGGTTTTCGCGGAGACAGATGCGGGGAGAGTGTCGGATGATGACGGGTAGTCCTCCCAAGGCGGTATGCTCGTAAAATCAGTGCTCGAGGGCCAAGAGGGCATCGGCTCTTCCCGTTCGATCAGGTTGAGTGATAGGAGGATGGCCTGAGTGGCGATCGTCATCCGCTCCGGGGCAAGAACGTGAGCGATTTGCGAGGACTGGGAGTTGATGTTTCGCTCCTGGAGAAGGTCCAGGCACAGCTCACTGCCGATGTCAAAATGGCGCGAAAGAGCGAAGTGGACCATGTAAATGAATGGCTGGAGGTGGTCCTCCTGAGGAACGACTATAAGACGGTTTGCGGGGAAGAAGTGCTTGAAAACGCCGTCGAGCTTCGTGGAGGCGGTGGAAACAGGCTCGTGACATCGATACAGGTAAGTCCAAAGGAGCCGCAACATTCCGTTCAGAACGGTCATCCGGTGAACCTTTTCCTGTGCGCAACTTTCAGCACGTATATTTTTGATCACGAATGGGGTTTACATACCTTGAGCTTACCAAGCCCAGCTTCGAAGCAAGCAGACCAATTGCGTAGGAAATATTCATGTGGTGCCACGCAGAGCGCAGTGACGGCCAGAGGGTAGGCTACCTGCCAATATCGAGGTTTCGTCGTCATGTCCCTTGCCTTGGGGTAGATGACCTCAATGGCTTTGGCCCATTCTGGATGGTTGACCTCCGCCTGCGCAGTCTGTGATAGTGACCCATGAGCAGCCAATCCGATCGCTACTGACAAGAAGTTCCTACCTTGCCGATGGGATGCAGTAGTTGCACTAGTGTCTCGGCAAATATCGTTTTCAGACGGTTTCCGTGTGCATTCTCGAACGCCTTCGATAGCGAGGCCAGGAACTCAGCGCTCTCTTCGAATCGTTCCGGGGGCCAAACCTGTCGCTCAGTTGACACGACGTTCATAACAACACGACAGACAGGAACCTACCTTGATGTGGATATGTTTCAAGCCTTTCACAAGGTTCTCAAACCTCATGTCCGCGTCTTTGGCTACTTGCCCTGCCGCAATGGGCCCCAGCTCTGTCAGGAACCTATCTGTCACACTCTCAAACCTGTTGCATGTCAATTCCTTGACCACTAATCCGCTACCCGGCAAGTGCGCACCTGATTTCAGCAAGGTGTCCTAGCAATTCCGCATGCAGTTCGGCATTACAACGATAGTTCGCCGACTGCATAGTGAGCTTCGCATCATGCCGCTTAAACTGTTCGAATGTCAGCTCCTCCAGACTATGGCCAACCGCCTCAGGGAGGCCATCCTTGCTTATGGAGCGGGCTACGGCGATCAGCGCGCGCGACATGATGTAGATTGACGCGAGCCACTTGCGCTCGTTCAACGCCTGCGCGACGTCTGGCATGCGCAACGCGCGCGATCCAGACGGCGACTGCGAGAGATGGTGGCGAAGCAGGTCTTGGCCGGCGGGGTCGCTTTGGCTCTTCCGCCAGCGCATGACGGAGTCGACGACGGGTTTGGCGTGCCGCTGAGCGATCTTTCCCAGCGACGACAGCATGTCGTCAAATTTCTTGTCTATCCCGGGGCCCATGTTTTCCTCGAGGGGAGGTTCACGGTCCTATGCTGATTGTCAGCTCATTTTTGAGGGATATGTACGAAGGACCTACCAGTGGTAAATGTAGAAACTTGTCGATGTGCTGCTCCGCGGCTGCCGCGAATCGCAGGAATATAGCATGCAACGCATAATCTGAGGGAGTCTTGGGATCAGGCACCACGCGGTCCTCCCCATCGGAGAACGACCCAGTATCATCTGCAAGTCCCGCGAACGCATCCGGCATAGGCGGGACCGGTGGCGGGGACGACGAGAACGGATAGTGACCATGGTCACTGCCGTTGTCCGAACTGTAGAATAGAGACCCCGAATGTGCGTGCTGGGCTCGCCCGTAGTCCTTCGACTTTGGCGTCCTCGCGCGGCCCTCTCCGCCACCCGGAGTGGCTGGCCTCAGCTGAGGTGAGCTAATGTTGCTCGTCGTTGGCCGTGTAGGTATGGGTGTAACCTGCGCGAGCGAGGAGGTGGAGCGGTTGAATGGGTCGACGTTCAGCGCGGGGTACGCAGGCATAGGAGGCGGGACTTCGTTGCTCTTCTTGAACGCATTCCGGAGGGACGCGAACGAGGACTTCTTCGTGAATGGGGAGCTGCTTGTAGTCGCGACCGAGGATTGGGTCGAGTGTGTGAACGGCGCCGCCTTCGCTGCCTTGCGTTGCGTGCCGCCGACGTAAGGAACGGACTGCCCTGAATCCTGGGATGCGATTGAGTCTCCGCGCGCGTGGAAGTACGACCCGCCCGCTCGTTCGTTGATGGCTTGCGGCGTGGAGATCGTCGGGGACTCGAGGCCAGAGCTGCTGCCCGCGTTGCCCCACATGCTTCCCGCCGCCCGTCCAAAGAACGGGCCGCCGCGAAAGGTGTCATCATCGTCGTTGAAGTCTGTATACCGACCATTGTATATTCCAAGAAGGGGTAGAAAGCAAGACGGTAAGACGAGCCCGCAAAGGAAGTGCTAGCAGACATACCGGGTATGGTGATCTGCATCCCGTCCGAGCCCATGGTTCTTTAAGAACTCCGCGCGCGGGCAAGAGATTCTGCAAGCAAGAAGAGGAGGCTAGCGGTGAGAGACAGAGCCTCCGACGAGTCGGACGAGATATACCAAGCCAGCAAGCGGGAAGAGCGTAAGATGTCCGGCGACAAACTCTGCGAGATTCTGTCTCCCCGCAACGCAACGCATATAGACGCCCATGCTATGTTCGCGCCTCCTCTCGGCAATTACTTCGTGGCGGCGGGCATGAATTCTCTCCGAACTCCCGCCTCGATAGCACGTTCGGGAATCAAGCATTTTGCACTGGAATGCTTGGAAGAGATAGTAGTCCGACAACGTTCGGTGGTATGGATACAAAAACAGGAGCGGTGTAATACATGTGCTTCTATGGGGGTAGTACAGGAAGTTGTCTAAGCGGACTCGGAGGCGCCATTTACGCCGTTTACGCCGTTCGCCTTGCCGCTGGACGCGTGGCCGCGGGCACCCTTTTGGACGAGGAGCCTCCGGCCGCGGACACCCTCGCGAAGCCTGTCCAGCACAGGCACGGTCTGTTCCCAAGAAATGCACGCGTCTATCGGTGGCGGTCAGCAACATTGCCTCGGACTTGTGGATGGCTACACACCTGTCACAGACTGGCCGTACTTCAGCCCCGCGGGGCCAGACACAGGAATGTCCTGACGGCCCTCGACGATGTTCGACTCGATCATTACACCCATGATCATGGACGAGGTATCGCCAGACTCCAGTTGCTGGGCCTAAATAGATCCGATCAGCTCTCCGTCCACGCTTCTGTCCGTGCGAGAGCGCAACAACATACAATGTTCTCCGCCACTTCGATCTGCTTCGCGTGCTGTTTCGAGCTGTTGCCGTGGCTGCAGTCGATCTGTCCGGACATCAGTTGGTACCCCCGAGGAACCATCTGTCAGATTCGCTGGCGTACCATGATTTTTTGGGCGAAGCCAGCCTTGGACAGCTTCTCGCCACACACGCGGACGAATTCCGCGGCATAATTGGGTCCGCTCGTTCCGCCGCGGAGGATAACGTGGACATCGGGGTTACCCTGGGACAACTGTCAGCGCCTCCCATGTGCACCACGAACGTTGTGCTTACCTCAGTCTCGACAATACTGCTCAAACCACCCTTGCCGACGGACAGGAAGACGTGCGGTTGGCTAGCGGCGCGGCACGCGTCGATAGCGATACCGACCGTTCCGTCGGTGGAGTTCTTGAACCCCGTGGGCATGGACAGCGCCGAGGTCAGTTCACGGTGCACCTGGGACTCGGTGGTGCGGGCGCCGATAGCACCCCACGACACAAGGTCCGCGGTGTACTGCGGCGAAATGGTGTCCAGGAACTCGCAGCCGGCGGGGAGGCCCATCTTCGCAATGTCGAGGAGCAGCGTGCGCGCGAGGCGGAGGCCCTTGTTGATCTGGAAGCTGCCGTTCATCTCGGGGTCGTTGATGAGGCCTTTCCAGCCGACGGTCGTGCGCGGCTTCTCGAAGTAGACACGCATGATGATGTGCAGGTCCTCCTTTGCGGTCTCGGCGTAGGCACGGAGATGGCGCGCGTACTCGAGCGCTGACTCGACGTTGTGTACCGAGCAGGGTCTGTAAATAAGAAGGCTCAGTCAAGGCAAGGCAAGGCAGTACTACTAGACTTACCCGACGACTACGACCAAACGATCATCGCGCGAGTGCAGGATATTTTCGGTGTGCTTGCGGCCTGCGAGGACAGTCTCCGCAGCACTCAGGGTCCTACATATCATAAGCCGCATGAGCATCCATCCATGATGAGGGTAGTTCAACGACGTACAACGGCAGGTCCTCCTGGAGAATAGCGGGTGGGATGAGCGGCCTGGTAGCCCTGACCCGACGGTCGTCGAGTTGAACGAGGGCATCGCGAACGGTGACAGACATGTTGGATACACTTGACACTAAGTGTAGGACGTCGAGGAGGGAGTGGAAGGGCGGAACGGCGAATGGCGGGGGCGGGAAGGAGGGACTTCAGTGAGGTACTCCGGGGCGGTCAAGGGTTTATATACACTCACTCTCGGGCAACGGCGGCGGACGCTGATGAATTTTGTTGCTGTGGCCCGTGCGATAATCGGGAGTTTTGTTGGGGAACAAACCAAGAAAAGGGAACTGGGGGTGCTGGAAGAGGGAGGGGATTGTTTCCCGAGGCGCGATGAGGTCGGATTCGAGTCAATGTAGGCGCCCATATGTGCAGAGCCCGTCCGATCGCTTGCCTTACGGCATGCCCTTAGCGCACGTGGCTGCGCCGCCCTGCGCCTGCCAAATTATCGCCGCGTGCGCTTAGCTAGCGCCCGCGACCGTGGACGTGCCGCTACCGTGTTCAGTGCTGTTGTCGCTCACCACCATCTCCTCCCCACTACCCTAGTTTCTGCTCTCCTTTCAGACCTATATCGCCGCCATGGACTTCTCACAGATGAGCTCGGCCGAACAGGCACACATGACGCGTGTCATTGAGCGCAAGCAGGTGCGTTTGCAGGCTCGTCACAACATCCTGGAGCCCAGGAGTTGATCGGGCTTCGTGCTAGATGCAAGACTTCATGCGCATGTACTCGGGCCTCGTCGAGCGGTGCTTCAACTCGTGCTGCAACGACTTCACGAGCAAGGCGCTTTCGTCAAAAGAGGTGCGGCTCCGCGCTCGTTTGATGTGCTAAACTGCAATTGACCGCGCTGCCTCAGGAACAATGTGTCCTCAACTGCACAGATAAGTTCCTGAAGCACTCAGAGCGGGTGGGAGCGCGGTTCGCGGAGCACAATGCCGGTGCGTTGGTTCTCCGATGTGTGCCTCCACGACATAACTCACCGCCCCAATGTCCAGAGATGATGGGCGGTGCTGCGAGCAAATAGCGCGCCGGTCTGCGGCGCACACACCATTCCCTTCTTGTACTGTACAGCTTCCCATGCTCGAGCGTATAATGTCGTCATATAATCACCTCGCCTCTCCATCTCTGGTTGGACCGGTGCTTTCCATTCTCGCAGATGAGACGCTACCTCCGTGACGTTGACAGGTACGTACACGAGGTTAGCGGCACAGGACACAGTGCGGTCTCGTCCTCGTATCCTCCGACCGCTCCCGGATCCATCGCCGGCAGAAGACGCCTGTGCTGTACGCGGGACACGTTCCTCAACACATTATATCACTGTAAGGTAGGCCGAACACAGCGCAAAGAAGTACGAAGAGTTGACATATGGTCGAACAGATCGGAAGCGAACGTTCATCAGCTCAAACTCCAGCTGCCTAAGCAGTCGGAGCCCCCGGGGCAGCGTCGTTCTCCGTAGCGGTCGCAGGAGCGGCTCCTTCCGCGGGCGCTGCAGGCGTCTCCGCGGCCTTCTTGTCCTCCGCCTCGAGCTTGTCCAACCACTTAGTGATGAATTTCACGTGCGCGTTGTAGTTGACAGTTGTGTCGAGCACATCCCTGCGCCAAGATAAGTCAGCGCCAGGCGTACGCCCAGGAGATAGTGCGCAAACCTACCTCACGACGCCCTTGGAGTCGACAAAGAACGTTACTCGGGCGGTCTCCGTAAGGCCAAACAAACCCTTTCCAACGTGATAGGCCTTACGCGCCTCGCCGTTGGCGTCGCTCAGCACTGGATACTTTATGCCCCATGGAGGTCAGTCAAATGGGGACTTGCGGGACACAGCTGCGCGCTCGGGCACTTACAGTCAGCTTCTGCTTCTCGACAAATTCCTTCTGTTTGTCGACGGCATCGGAGCTAATGCCGACGATGTCGACCTTGGTCCGCTTGAAGAGGTCCTTCTCTGCGCGCGCCAACCATGTTCGCGTCTCTCGCACTCACGATCATGTCATAGCGCACGTACCGGCGAGAGCATCCCGGAACTGGCACGCTTCCTTCGTGCAGCCAAAGGACCCTGCATCGGTGTAAACGTTGATATGTCATCATGAGCACCGGGGGCACGAAGTTGCGGACGCCCATACGCACCGGACTTGGGGTAGAAGAACAGCGCAACCGGGACGCCCTTCTCGCCCGGCGTGAGCGTGTACGTCTCGCCGTCAGCGCCAGGGAGCGAGAGCGGCGGGGCGGGTTGGCCGATGAGCGGGTGGCGGGCCATTGGTGTGGGGGGCGTTAGGGGTCGTGCGGCGGTCGTTACGGAACGGTCGTGAGAGCCTGGGGTAGGGGCGGTCTCAGGAATCAGGCGGGCCTTCTCGCATTTTATACCCGCCGCTACGCGAACTCGTGGTTGGCCTCGGGCAGGCCGTTCGAAGCCTCGTCCAACCGCATTCTGATACCGTGAGGCCTGCATGCCTAGTGCGTGCGGCAGCTCGGACCTTGTAGGGGCCCTGCAGGGGGGGCACGTATATCATACTAGCAGATACCCGTGCCTACGCCACGCAATTTTTCTGAGGGCATATGAGGACGTGCAATAGGCGGCAACAGCACTCAGGGAGTCGGGACTTGGGGATGGCGGATATCGGAACTGACTACGGGAACATTGCACGACAACCGCCATTTTAGGCGCCAGTCACTCGGCATACAAACTGAATTGTCTGCCGCGTCCCATAGCATTGAGACCATTAGAGAGGGTTTCTCTGGGTTTGTACTGTAGTAAGTAGGGACACAAAATAGATTTCGGGCGATAACTATTCGAGTTAAGCTTTGTGGGTGGGCAGCCAAGGTTTGGGTGGTAAGCCAAGGTGAGCGCCGACATGCCGCGGCAAGCGCTCACGTTCGTGAGCTCGCGAACTTCGCGAGGTGCAGAACTCCGTGTTGCAGCTCACATTGCAATTTGTTCATATATATCTGGAATACATAGGATGCCATTTACAAATTATGAATAGAGTATGCTGCTACAAATCTACGCAGATTCCTGTTTACCGTTCGAGCTGCTACTGCTGGGGGAGCTAGGGGACGTCGAAGACTGACTGTCAGTGCTAATGGCGCGCTTTTTTGACGGATTAAGTGGCGTAGTGAGTGGATCCTCAAACGCCCACTTGCGCTTGCTGTTCTCCGGCGTGGAAGGCTCTGTCTCGTACCTCAAGTCAGTGCATAGACGCAGTGCAGATAGTTTAGTAAAAGTGTACTCACGGTGAACAGGCAGTGAACTGTGGGAGCGCGGAAAGTAAGCAACATTCTCCATAGAGAGATGGAAGCTTTCGGCGACCATCGCTGGAGCTGCGCGCTCGACAGCGGTAAGCTGGCCTACCACAGCGGCGTTGGATCCCTCGTTGGGCGGAAGAGGCTTCTTCCCGGCCTTGAAGCGGCCGTTGTCCGGGATCTCGACGACGGCCGAGATATGGCCGGGGTTGGCGTCCTTGAGTTGTTGGACAAACTGGTTAGCTGTGATCTTGAAGGACGCGGGGTTATCGTCACGGCCGCTGATCTCCCGTGCCGGCCCATTGACCATCATGACCGGACATTTGCGTGCGTCGGCGTCTGGTGCATAGGTCATCTAAGAGACTATCAGTAGGAGTCCAATAAGCTGTTTAGGAAGCGAACTTACCCAGACAATGTCCCCGATGAGATCATAGTCAGTATGCCGGGCATTAGTGCAAAGCTCGGCGTCCTCCGTGGGTTGAGCTACCTGTACTGATAGTTAGTGCCTACTTAGAACGTTAAAGAAAATGATGACGCACCATAGCCATCAAGACAAATGCACCATGGTCAGGAACTTCTGCATTTTCCTTGTTGAAGTACCTAGCATACGGGGATAGATCAGTTTACACACGGTCTCAACCTCGTAGAGCTAGTAAACACTACTCACCGAAAGCACGCCGTCAGCGGCATTAGACCATCACCCATCCAGAAGCTAGCGTCGTAGGTGATTGAGCGAGGCTTGGCTGGATCTGCTAGCCGCGGGTTCTCGAGGACGGCAATACCGAAGATAGACACAGAGCCTGGTGGGGAGCCCGCAGAGCCAGCATGTGGCTTGACTGGGCTGCCAGAGGTAGTGCGAGAGGTGGAGGGTGATACAAAGACCGTGCGGCGGGGCATGGTGAGTGAAGAGTGGTGAACAGATGAGCAGAGCCGAAGATCGTAGTGCGCAGGGAGCTGGTCGAGCAAGTGAAGTTGTGCAGGGGCATTTTATATCGGCTCCCATCCGCTGCTCGCGAACGTTCCAGCGTAGTCGGCGATGGAGCTCGAGCTGATGGCATTGTCGAGAGGTGGGTCACTAAGGATGAGGGACTGCAGGTGCGACGGCAAGCTACAACCGCCGTAGGGCGCATTTAGCGCCCCTTACCCCAAAATGGAATGCATATCGGACGCCGACACAGCGGGCGGGTACCTGGTGACTTCTTCAGCCGGCCCTCGCGAATATTCGAGAGCTGACGACTTGACGCCACTCTGCTTCAGTGGTGATGTCGGAATATCTCAGTGCAGGGCTCTGGATTGCTCATTGTGCAGGTGGTACACGTTCGCCAAATATAGTAGGCGAACTGGCCACTGCCTGAGCTTGATGCAACGGCCTAGGTATGTAGGTGATTTGTCTGATCATATCAACACCCAGATAATGTCTAGTAGGCTTTCTAATACCTGGTCATTGACTCAAAATAGTTCCCCAAACGTCGAGTGGTGCACAGTACAAATTCGCAGATTAATGTGTATTTTAATCTAATAGTACTTCTGGATACACAATATTAGTTGTAGTGGTTCCATCACTGTCCTCTGGTAACAAAACCTGAATGCGACGTGAAGAGCTAGCTCGGGAGAGTGCTACGTAGAGCTGTCCATGGGTAAAAACTGGAATACGCAGATCAACCCCAACATACTTAACAGACTGACCCTGTGCCTTGTTGATTGACATAGCAAATGCCAATCGGAGCGGGAACTGGTGTCGCGAGAGCTTAAAGGGGAGAACAGTGGATGAAGGGTTGAGGGTTATGCGTGGAATGAGAGCTACCTCGCCATGATGCTGCCCGCCAATGAGCTCAACCTCCAATACTCGGGCCAACATGCGACGGATGACCATGCGGGTCCCGTTGCACAGGCCTCGGGATGGTGCAAGATTGCGCAGCAGGATGACAGGGCTGCCAACCTTCAGGCGAAGTTCGCCTAATGGTAACCCAGAAGTCTTGAGAGAGCGCAGGTACTCAGCAGGATAGCCAGGGTCGTCGTCTGGATCTGCCCCAGGCTCGAGGATGATCTTGTCGGCGGAGGGATAGATTTGTTCCTCACCAGGCATACGATCGAGCACCCTGTGATTGATATCATCGACGTCTTCATTGCGGGCTGATAGGATGGTCCGATGGAGGAAGAAGTCGGCAGGAGGAAGGGCATTGGCAGAGGGAGAGAGACCGGCGTAGATTGTGTCTATCAGAGCGTTCACGTCGCCGCAATGGCGCATGTAGTCGGGGATAGTGACCTTGCTGTGATCGCCCTCGTGATGTGTACGTCCATGTCCTACGTCAAGAAGCCACTGTGCGAATTCAGTGTTGTCTTCATTCCCGTCAAGACGCATGTTCCGATGGAGGTGAAGGACACGGACATGTTCCCAGATGTAGGAACGGCGCAGACTCGCAGCAACAATGTCTTCGCGTGAACCTCGCACAACCACAGGGAGGATCTGTTGAAAGTCACCTCCAAAGACTACCGTGATGCCGCCAAAAGGTTTGTCGACGTTAAGGAGGTCACGCAAAGTTCGGTCGACTGCCTCGGGTGCGTAGCGATGTTGGTTTGCGGCTTCATCCCAAATAATCAGGCTGGTACAGCGAAGCATGTCGGCGTACTGACTCTCCTTCGGGATAGGACAGGTCGACTCTGCATTGATGTGCTCCACTGGGATTTTGAATCTCGAGTGGGCGGTGCGACCTCCAGGGAGGAGGAGCGATGCAAGTCCCGACGAAGCGACACAAAGAACAATACGCCCTTCTCCTCGAATCTACGCATGCAGATGTGTCAGAGGGGAAGCTTCGAGCGGTGGCAGAAATGAGATGTAGATAGCATTAGAACATTACCTTGTGACATATGGCTTCATACAGGAAGGTCTTGCCAGTGCCGCCCGGCCCGTTGAGGAAGAACAGTCCACCGCCGCCATCTTGCAGAACGCAGTCGACGATGGTATTGAAGGCGAGGCGTTGTTCGGGGTTTAGCTGGGCGACTTGGAGCTCCGCAGCCTGGCGCTCGTCTGGAGGGTTGTAGTCGAGCTGCTCGCTGATGTACGGGTTCTCCACCTCAGCGCCCCAGTTGCGCGATGGCGTTGGCATCCCTGGATATCGTCGGAGTGTGCTTCCCTGCTGAGGCTCATTCAAGAGCTTCTCGAGGAGGAAGAGCCCGTAGTCGTAGACATCCTCCTCAGAGGCGTCCTCACGGCCGAGCAAACGTAGACGGTGACGCAGGTCGTCGCAGATTGAAGAACGGAACTCGTTCCAGAGAGCGCCTGGATGGGCAGGTTGGCAGAAGAGGAGGACGGTGGCAAAGAGATGTCTGAGGCGGGTACCAGTCTGCATCTCAGCTGCCTCGGACAGGCACTCTGTTAAGACGACACCTTCGAGGGTCGTGGTAGCGTTCAGGTGCAAGGGCCTAGCAGGCAGGAGAGGAGACTCGAGTTCAGGGGTGAAGGTGATAGATAACCAGGTCGAGCTGAGGACCATCCTCAGCTCTCCAGGGGTCCTAATATACATAGAAGCCATGCTGAAACGGTGCGTACTAGGGGAGGCAAGCCTGCTACCTACGGGACCGTAACAATGAGGCGCTGCCTCATGGTGTCCGCACCGTAGCTGTACCGTATCCGCGTGTAGTCCATCCACATCAGTAACATGAGGCGTAGGTGAGGCATAGGTGAGGTGCGATCAAAGTCCATGTCCGAGACGCCCGGACCGTTGTAACACTGAGCCTCTCCTATGACTGTGCGCTCACTCGGTCTATCGCGATAATTCATCTCTGGGAAGCGTAAATTCATAAAGAAGAGCACACTTCAAAACATGGATCCAGGAAACGTTCTGTACCTCCTGCGTGCAGCGGCGCACTCG